ACACAGTAGACTGACTATAGGACCTATGTTGTACTAGTATAGAGTACGTATATACACTAGTATAGATAGAGTATGTAATATATACACAGTAGACTGACTATAGTACCAATGTTGTACTAGTATAGAGTACGTATATACACTAGTATAAATAGAGTATGTAATATATACACAGTAGACTTACTATAGAACCTACGGTTGTACTTAGTATAGAGTACGTATATACACTAGTATAGATAGAGTATGTAATATATACACAGTAGACTGACTATAGAACCCATGTTGTACTAGTATAGAGTACGTATATACGCTAGTATAGATAGAGTATGTAATATATACACAGTAGACTTACTATAGAACCTATGTTGTACTAGTATAGAGTACGTATATACACTTATAGATGAGTATATTCGAGTCCCGCCGAGCTCGGTGTTGTATGTGAGTAGAGTTGTTTGTTGGTCCTCTCCTGTGCTTCGAGGGTTTTCCGGGTTCTCCGGTTTTCCTCCCTCCGCAAAAATCAACTCCTAAATTCCAGTTCGATCACGGAATGAGGGCCACAGGTTTGTTAGCCACTGGCTATTAAGTGCTACCCTCGTGAAAAAAGGACGTTTTTTAAAAATTATTATTGCTGTTTTATTTTTATTCAATCAATTATCTTCATTTTCAGCGGGTTCTAATTTCACAACTACCTCGAGCCTCACAACTCTTTTTATCAATTCCACCTCCACTATGATTCACACGACCTTGTCAACGCTGATTACCACCACATTTCAACCAACAACCAACGAAACGTTTAGCCAAGCCAACGACACTGGAAGAGGACCCTCGTGTAGAACAACTCCTTTAGATGCAGAGCGTGTTTTTCTGATCTTCTGCTATATCGTAATCTTCGTGGTCACTATAGCTGGGAATGGGATCATTATCTATGTAGTCAACTGCTATAGAAACATCAAGACAGCGTTTAACCTGCTTATCGTCAACATGGCGGTAGCCGATATTCTAGACGCAGTAGCAGCATCACCTACAAGTATTTCTTTTTTTATAGTCGGACGAAGGTTCCCAAGTGGAGCGATAGGAGAAATCATCTGTAAGCTACAGATGTTCATTCAAGATGTTTCGATTTCGGCGTCTGTTCTTACGCTCACTGTCATCGCCGTTGATCGGTACTTCGCGATAGTCCACGTGTTACGCCGGCCAATGGGAGTGCGTTCGGTAATGCGAGCCATCTGTGCTATATGGGTGGTCAGCGGACTCACCTTCATGTATGAGTTTTATCGAATGCGCCTTGTACCTTATGGTAAGGACGCCGTGACGTGTACTGTTGTTTGGGGCGTGGACGACCCTGAAACAGTGAACCTTCTCTTTATGACCGACATGTTGATGAAACTGATATTCCATTACGTATTGCCGCTGGTCGTCATGATTATCGTTTATACTATAATTCTTTTACATCTTTGGCAACGCAAAGCTCCCGGCGAGCTTAGTGACAATCACCAAAAGAGGCTCGAACGCCAGAAACGAAAGGTCATTAAAATGCTGGTTACTATAGTGACGGCTTTTGCAGTTTGTTGGTTTCCGGTCCATTTCAATCACGTGATGATAACATTCCATTGGGAGAGGTACCGATGTGCTCTGCCGATGGGTGTGATTATGGCCTTCTACATGGTTGCCCATGCCAACGCTGCAATCAATCCATGTCTTTACCTCATCTTTAACCAGAACTTTAGAGATGGATTTAAACATATCTTCAATAAGGTAAGCATTAGAGGCTTTGCACTATCACTCGAAGGCAGCCATGACCGGAGGCACAAACACTGAATCTGGTCTAATCTAATATATATAAGAAAGAATTTGGAAAAATATTATATTGTTGGGCCTCCTGTCATGGCTTACATCACGTCCGCACCATATTGTCGTGCCTCCTGTCATGGCTGACATCACGTGGTACTATTGTAAGTAATTAGATGTCAAAGGGGCTTTATTGGAACTACCCGCACCATATTGTCGTGCCTCCTGTCATGGCTGACATCACGTGTTGCTATTGTAAGTAATTAGATGTCAAAGGGGCTTTATTAGAACTACCCGCACCATATTGTCGTGCCTCCTGTCATGGCTGACATCACGTGGTGCTATTGTAAGTAATTAGATGTCAAAGGGGCTTTATTAGAACTACCCACACCATATTGTCGTGCCTCCTGTCATGGCTGAAATCACGTGGTGCTATTGTAAGTAATTAGATGTCAAAGGGGCTTTATTAGAACTACCCACACCATATTGTCGTGCCTCCTGTCATGGCTGACATCACGTGGTGCTATTGTAAGTAATTAGATGTCAAAGGGGGTTTATTGGAACTACCCGCGCCTCTCTCGGGTTCGATTGGACTCGTGAGCGGGCATACACGAAGAGTTTGTTAGGTCTCTCTTTTAGGTTTCTCTCTCGATTCCAGTGTTTAAAGAAATCCCATATTTTCCTATTTTTCTCCCAAAAATGAAATCCCTTTACAGTTTTCTGCGCTATATTAATAGGTAAGCGTCCCTGTGCATTGAAGCGAGGGCTGTGGTGACCTGGACCATTATTCACTCCATCATTCCAAGGTCACCGCCGTCCTCGCTTCGATGCACAGACACGGTTACCTTCAAGATGGCGCAGGGGACCTATATTTTCCCATAACGCGCGTGCGAACAGTTGTACATTTTATTTATACAGTTTTTCTTTTGGTTCCAATTGTAGATCCATCGACGGGATATCACGATTATCGAGAGGACGTCGACCACTAGAGATGTGATCAGTAACGCCACAGCTATCCCAAACATTGGTTACCATCCCTCCACGCCTCAACTGACTCGGCTCAATGCGTCATCCTCTGGGGACGAGATGGCTGACTCTAAACTCTAAACACTATAAGATCCATCCAGCCAGGAAATGCAATAATTATTGCAAAGGAAGTCTTGAAAAAATGGACCTAAAAATGAGGAGACACCAAAGACTAGAATGACAAGTTCTTTTGAGCAATAAGTTGGAAGGGTTAAAAGGAACCGGTCTGTGTCGTACTCGAATGGAGGGGTAACTCGAGAAAACGAGCGAGAGATACGAACACATCTATTTCTCTTAGTAGCCAGTACGTTGGTCGACTTACAAATATTTCATAAAAAAGTTATCCGAGACAAAGGCAATATAGCCTTTGCACCATCACGTGCCCATGCCCATAATACAGGTTGGACTGCCTGTGGTTAGATTTCAGAACAATTGTTGGGTTTCACTCAGTTGATAAAAGTTTTTGAATCTCATTATCTGCTCCAAATGGTGGTCAAACACTGACCACCATGTTCTGTCAACCAGAAAAAGATTCTATTGAAAACTTGTGATTCAGCTGATGAACATTCCGCACGAGACATGAAGTGAAAGCCAGCTATATGATTGTATTGTTCCTGCCATCTAACATGGCTGCCGTCACGTGATGCTGCAAAACCTCTATAGGAGCGAGATAGTTCATTCCAAGAACCAAGAATCTTATTATTTTTCTCGTCGAAGACAAGGAAGTTAGAGTTGATATACAGTCAATCCAAAAAATGTTGTCGTCGACCAACTCAAGCCTAATCGCCTGGACCGAAAGGATCTCTGGGTGAAGCTGAGTTGACTCTGTAATTTTATCTGACTAGTTATGCCTGGTTTACAGCACGAACCTTCGTAGGTAAGCGGGAAGTGTTGAAGGAGAAGTTTTTTTAATGCCTTCATCTTTTTTTCGGAATTGTGAGCTGAATCATAACTACTTTGTTTTTCTTTCCCTAAGCCCAAAGACATGCATTTGATGGATTGTTTCTCGCCATTATTATCTTAAAACAATTAATTCAGAACGAATATTTAACCGCTTCAATGATTTTTACCCATATTCCTTTCGGTCCAGTCGCGTAGGCTTGAGCCGGTCGACGACAACATTTTTTGAATTGACTGTATACAACCTCGTTTGTAGTCAACGAAAACATTTTTTAAAGTCCTCGATTATTTTTGTTTAGTTGTATACACAGAATTTCTTTCCGTCTTGGAATGACGACTTATCGCTTAATAGTTACCAGTCTCCTTTGGTGCGTTTATATTCCTTAATTATAAGTTATTCCGAGGTTGAGTGAAAGACTGGATCGTGTTGGCATTGCAATGCATTTTGGGGTAGTTTTAGGGTACGAAATAGACGCCATCTTGGAAAATCTGTCTCCTAAGAGAGTCCCATAATGCATTGTAATACCAGCTCGAGCCAGTTTTTCCTCATCCTTGCAATGGTTTATGAACCTGTCTTAGACCTAAATCGTGGAATAAGATTCTTCGAGTAATAGTAATAATAATAATGTAAATAGAGTGAAGGCATTTAACCCGTGAAATAAAAATTATTAGTCAACGTGTAATAGTCAAAAATACACAAAAGAAAACAATGGAATTAAGGTCTACTAAAGTGTATTAGTCTAATATCTATTTCTCGGGTTTAATGACTTCACTCTAGTAGTAATAATAATAATAATGATGATGATGATAATGATAATAATAATAACTTTGATATTTATACCACGCATATTGCATATGCATATACTCACATGCGCGAGAAGTTAGATCGACATTGATGTATCATTTCAACAAAGAAATAATACTCTAGAGAATGACGTGAACAGAAAAGGCAAAGCTTTGTGTACGCTCAACCCTCAGTTTTTGGTTGGCGCGCTTGAAAACAAACCAAAAAAATTAGCACATCTATTATCCATTCCAAAGTTAAGGATAAAACTGGGTCGAGTTCGCGTTGCAGTACTGAATTGTGGGATTGTTTCATGGGACGAAATAGACGCCATATTGACCCTGTTTTTCCCTCAACCCCTGAATGGCTAATACACCTCTTTACCTTGGGCTTAAAGTGCAGATGAACCCTTCGAAATACTTTCAGTACTGATTACATGAAGTAAATAGTTGATTGGTAAAATATTTCTTGATTTGAGTGATGCGTTTGTAAGTTATGAAGGTTTATACTTTCAATATGCTAATGAGTGTGACGTCTATTAAGGCTTAATTAAATATACAAAATCGATCTGGTTCATAGATACAGTATTTAAAAAGCATCATTATTTTATTCGTGGTTTACATGGAAGCTATTTAAAATTTGTATTTTCAAAATGGCCAGCATTTAGTATTGCTAGTTACAACAAAAACATTCAAATACCTTACTGACGTCATCATCATTAACACATCGGAAGTATAAACCTTCATAACTTAGAGACGCATCACTCAAATCAAGAAATATTTTACCAATCAACTATTTACTTTATGCAGAACCAGTACTGAATGTATTGTCAAAGGGTTCCTTTGCACTTGAATGTTTTCCTATTTCCGACCAGGTGTCATTCCCTAGAGTATCATTTCTTTATTTAGCAGTTACGCATGAAAAAAAGGCATCGCTAACCCTCTCTCGCGTGACTTGCATCATTTTTTCAAGTAGAACCGGCTTCTACTTCAGAAAACAATTTTTCTAAAGATTTAAGTGTGACGTGATCGTGCAACTTAAAATTAGAACGCACGTGTCAATCAATTCGACTGATTAAGATTACGCGTGCAACTTTTAGGATTTTTTTTTTTCGCTAAGAGAAATTACATATTACGCAGTGTTAGTGACACGGAATTTATTCTCAAGATAATTTACATATATTGGAATATTTGGTCTGAAATGGGGAAGTGTCTATTTACGCCCTATAAATCTGATGGAAATTTTAGAGCATAACATGGTGTCAGTTATGTTATAAGGTCTATTTTGTCATTCGTCATTTTTGTGTACCACGACAATGATTATTGATAACCTTTATTTGATCAAATAATACGCGAGCAAAATGTCTCTGCCTATCTGCTTGACAATGACAAAATGTTTTTGAATCACTTGTACATGTTCTACGATAGATTTATAGCATGGGTGCACGTAGAGATTCTGATCGCCATTTTGATTTTTTTAAACCTACGCACTGTGTACTATTATATGTAATAAATATATATGATGATAGACTACTAATAAATGTTTAGTTCGTATGCTAAGATTATGTTAGAGTTTGCTCACGTTAAAGATAAATATGAAATAAAAGATTGAAATAGATATATTTTTTGAGCTTCCGGAATCGTGAATAAATGAGCGCTTCCGGGTTAGGTATGAGTTTAGTAAATAGTCTTTTCGCACGCCCATTGCTGTTAGAGTGAAGGCATATAACCCGTGAAATGAAAAATACTAGTCAACGCGTAATAGTCAAATAAACACAAAAGAAAATAATGGAATTAGGCGGTCAACTAAAGTGTATTAGTCTAATATCTATTTAACGGGTTTAATGGCTTCACTCTAATACAAAAAGGCGACTAAATGAAAACAAATTCGATTTTATTTGTTATTGGAATCACTTCAATACAAGGAGATTTTTTCTTTTTCTTTGTGACTCCGCTGAATAAAGAACATTGCGGACACATCGGAAGGTTGTCATGTAAAACGTGCATGCTCATCATCGATACGAGCAAAAAAACTTTGTCAATTGCTCTTTGAATTGTCAAATGGTCGCTAAAAGTGAATAAAGATAAGCAAGCGAACAAATAAATAGTCTGAGAAAACGGGCGTTCTTTTGCTCCCCGTCTGCGTCCCACCTCGAAAGCAACTGTAACCCCCCCCCCCTCAAGCATCTTTTCCCCCACGCGAAAGCAACTGTATATCTCCGCGAAAGCAACTGTGCCCCACGCGAAAGCAACTGTATACCTCCTGAAAAGCAACTGTGCCCCCCACCCAAGCATCTTTTCCCCCAAGCGAAAGCAACTGTATACCTCCTCGAAAGCAACTGTGCCTCCCCCCAAGCATCTTTTCCCTCACGCGAAAGCAACTGTATACCTCCTCAAAAGCAACTGTGCCCCCCCCCCCCAAGCATCTTTTCCCTCACGCGAAAGCAACTGTATACCTTCTCGAAAGAAACTGTGCCCCCCCTCAAACAAACTGTGCCCCACGCGAAAGCAACTGTATACCTCCTGAAAAGCAACTGTGCCCCCCACCCAAGCATCTTTTCTCCCACGCGAAAGCAACTGTATACCTCCTCGAAAGCTACTGTGCCCCTCCCCCCCAAGCATCTTTTCTCCCACGCGAAAGCAACTGTATACCTCTTCACAAGCAACTGTGCCCCCCCTCAAACATCTTTTCCCCCACGCGAAAGCAACTGTATACCTCTTCACAAGCAACTGTGCCTCCCCCCAAGCATCTTTTCCCTCACGCGAAAGCAACTGTATACCTCCTCAAAAGCAACTGTGCACCCCCCCCCCCC